ATTTTATCGGTGTTTTAGAATGCATGGCTAAGCAACCAATTCAATATTTTCAAATAACTGGCATGGCTTTGTCTAAATTTTATTCAAATTATTTTAGGTCGGGCAGCATTGAAGGAGTTTCCCCGACGACCAGTGGTCCCAATCTGATAGCAGCCCTCTCAAGCAGCGCGACAGCTGCTCCTTCTGCCGGAGCAGGTGGTGCTGGTGCAGTTGACAGCGTTAATGCACCCGTGGGCACCTGGAAGCTGATCAAGGGCAAAGTCTCGCAGACCATTGAAGAGATAAAATCATCCAAGCATCATACGCAGCAGCCGACGGCCGTCATACCCATAATTGTGGCCAACGAGCCAACGACTTGTGCGACAGTCGGGTGGACCAACGACCCGGATTCGGAAACTGAGGGCATCACGATCAATGCGAACACACAAAGCGAGGAGCAGCAACAGCAACAGCAGCACAACTCCGACTCGGATCCAGAAATTGAGTTGGTCGATAGTATTAGTCTGGGTAGCGCTGAAGCTGGACCTGCAGCGGCCATCCCAACGGAGGGCTCCCGGCTACGTCGCGGTATCGCACACATTAAGTCCAAGGTCAAGGCCAAGCAGCAAGCGTCTGCCATGACGAAGAAGGATCTGATCAGCAATCCAAGCAGCACTACGACATCCTCTCTGCGCAGCAATTTCCTGCGCCGGCGTAACAATGCCGACCTGAATACCGAAGCGTCCACCAGTGCCCAGGCGGAGGTGAGCCAGTTGCGTGAGAGCGCATCTGCACCAGAGATACCCATCGAGAGTGGCAAGTCGAAGCGTGGCATTCTGCTCGCCCGCAAGGATGTGGAGATTGAGTCCGGTGTCGAGGTGCTCGAGGATATGATACCATCAGCGTCGGCACAAACTCTGTCCTCCGATCAGAAGTCGGGTGAAGTTCAGTTCAATGATGTTGACACGGTAAAAAGGCGTAGCACACTGGATCTGACCCTGAGACCGAACACATCCTCGCAGGTGCCCGCCCGGCCATTCGCCGATGCACCGCCCAATGATGCTTCAGTGAAGAGCAAAATGACTGATTCCCTCATCTCAATCTGGACGACATTGAGCAGCCCCAGCAACTTGAACTGGCGTTCCCGGCCTGCTGTACAGCCTTTGCTCCTTGGAGCGTGTGTATTTGTGATGATTGTGTTACCGTTCCCCGACTTTGTGCGGGGCGTCCTGTCCACCATTCTGTTCATCATAATTATGAACTACTGCAGTTCGTATGTCACTTACATTCTGGAGAGATTTGTGCTGAAGACACATCCGGAGCGTAAACCGTTCCTCATTCCCAACTATAGCAGCATGGGCATCTGTGAGATACCATCCGTCGAGGAGCACAAGACCATTAAGACTTATTCGGGCTGGCTTATGGAGCTCGATAGCTATGATCCCAATACGTTCTCCTTCACCCTGACCAGGGCCATCTATGTGCGGCTCGACGGTGCTATCTTGAAGATATCCGGCACAAATGCTCGCATACCCAAGCGTCGCATGTGGAACGAGAAGCCCATCGACCGTGCCAAGGTTCTCTTCACCGATCATCGTTCGTATGATTTGCGTGACGCTCGCATTGAGCTGCTGCCCGTGGGATTGGCCAAGAAGCGGTCTGTGTTCGCCTCTTTTTACATTGAGTGTTCCTCTCTTTTTATCTAACTGCTTTTTATTTGTAGCTTCTTCAATCGCAAGTATCCCATACAGCTGATCGTCAAGAACTGTGGCTTCTATACACCAACCGATCAACCGGTCCACACGCCAAACACAGGTGACGCAACACCAGCCGCCGGAGATGAGAATGATAAATCCACAGACTTTGGCACAACTGTCCTATTTGCAGATGTAGGTTCAAATATATATATGCTATATGCTTTCATATTCTAAGTACGATTTTTTGATTTTAGCTACGACAACTGCACAATACTGTAACGCCCGATCAGGATCTGAAGGACATTACCATACCATGTGGAGATGAAGTGCGTCTGCTGATCTTTGCGCGCTGCGATCGGGAAAAGGAAGATTGGTATCGTCGCTTTCAGGCAGCCAGCAAAGGCTGCGTCCACGAATCGGATTTGCAGGTGCCGATGGCGCATTTTGTGGATGACACCGATCTGCAAGCGGCTGCCGCACAGCATGCTATCAACCTAACAATGGGCGGCAGCAATAAGGTATTATTATTTACACATCTCTTTTTTAATTTTTTGCTTTCGACTCATGCCTAACTTTAATCTCCAGCAGCCACGCAACAAGGATACCGAAGATCCGTCAGTGTACTCATTCCACAATGAGGAAACCGGTTCGAATACGCCGGACACGCTTGAGGAATTGCTGGAGGAGGACACAATTCCAGATGCTACAAAGGATGGCTACGAGGGATTAATCATGAGCGCCGATGTTGCACGAAATCCAGCGGATTATGTCAAGTTCATGACAGTCTATCAGGTAGCCTCAATTAATGCAGCAGTAACACAATCCCTGCAACATTTTTTAGTTGTAGCGTGGATATTTATTTTGTTTGGTTTCCATCAGTTTTTTTATTTTGAATCTTATAATTTTGCTCACTTAGAAAGCTTGCAAACAAGGCAAAATTCCCGTAAGCCGCAAACCACTTAAAGATGATCAAAATCCTGACCACCGTCGCAGAAAAGTATGTTTTTATTTTATTATCCATCCGATAGACAAATATAGATAATGTTGTTGAGCTCGGTTTAATGCTCCCGATCATTTTCGCAGGCTCGCCGTGCCAAGCGTCAGGAGGATGAGCTGTGGAAGGGCATTGATCAGTCGCTGTTTCTGGGCCCCTCGGGCAGTGTGGTGTGGGCCAATGTTGTAATGGGTCGCTGCCTCTTCAGCTGGCTGCATGACGCTGCACTGCATCTGAAGATTCAGGACTTCTTGCAAAAGAAACTCAATTCAATTAAGGTAGATCTTGGCATAGCCTGCTTCCGACTTCTCTCTCACTCATCGCGGTGTTGGCCATTTTCAGCTGCCCAGCTTCATGGAGGAGGTGGTCATAACGAAAATCTATTTGGGCGAATCGCCTGTGCTCTTTCATCGCATCTCGCAACCGATGCTGGATGAGCGTGGTATCTGGTTGGATGCGGATGTCACCTATGAAGGACTCGCCCACATTACGGTCACCACCAAGCTGAACTTGTTGCGTGTTCGCAGCAAACCGAAAGCGTCGCCCGGAACTGCGGATAGCGGTACAGTGTTGCAGGACCCACCGCTGGATGTGCGCAATTTACCCGATGATGGCACTCAGGACAGCAATCAGGCTATCTATGATAGCGATGCTGAGAGCTCGGGTGGCTCTTCCACGGAATCAGAAAGTGCAAGCCCAGGCACTTCTGCAGAAAATCAAAATAACACCGAGTGGGTATATAATTATTTGATTAAATGTATCTCAAACTAATGTTGAAATCGATTACAGATTCTTTCAAAACTCACCGGGCAATGCTCGTCGCATCTTTAAGATTGTCGATCGCATTGCCACGTCCAATTTGTTTCAGTATGCCACCGAGCTGCCCTATGTGCAACGCGCCATGGAGAATATGAGTGCCAACATCACGTTGCGCGTTGATCTCAAGGGAATGGTGGCACGTGGCACTTTGAATATACCACCACCGCCGTCGGATCGCGTCTGGATGTGCTTTCGTGGGCCACCACGTCTGTGGATCTCGACGAAGCCCCAAGTGGGCGATAAGTCGATGGATTGGTCCATTGTCACGAATGTGATTGAGAGCAAACTCTGCGAGGCGGTTAATAAGTTTTTGGTCTATCCAAATATGGTGGATTTCTCCATACAATTTCTGGCCAAGCCCAACGCTGATGAAGAGGCGATGGGCTCATCCAGTTAAGAGACGACATTTTGGCCAATTGAACAAATTTATGCTAAATGTAATTCCAATAGAATTTAACACAAAGTGTGTAAGGATTTTTTAAAAGTGATGAACCGAAGGTTTTACTTTTTTTTATTGCGATCTCGCTCCAAGTACTTATCAATTAGGCAAAAAGCAACAAAAATTCCATGTAACAAGTTTGAAGCGCTTGATATCTCCGATCTTCAATATCTCTACATATATATATATATTTTTTGTATTTACATTCTTTATAAACATACCAAAAAATGATTTTATATAAGCAAGTATAGTTGAAAAAGATTTTATGTTATCATTCTTCAAGCGATGCAATTCAGTCGCTTTTTCAAATCTTTACGAATAGTATTCCATAAAGCATACTGCAGTCACTGCATAGGTCCTAACTTATTGTATCTCGATACATATATATATATATCTATAAACCGCGACAAATACATATACTTATATATAAGTCTATTCCAAGCTATACTCTTTAAGCATGCGTGTGAATTTTATATGCTTATCGAAAGCTAAAACATAAATGTATTTATATTTGGTACGATGTTTAACTTATTTATCAACTAAGTAGAATACGTATTTCAACTACAGTCCTGTTACTAATGGAACTTGAACATTCGCCAAAGGATATCTATGCCCTATATCTGTATAGGTTCCAGTTCCAGCCTCCCAACATGAACAAATCATATATCATTTACAAAATGGTCGGTGACGTGACCTATTTTTTCAATTAAAAGAACAAAATAATTTTATATTAGTTTTAATTTAAATAATATTACCTAAAAAGCAAGTATATTTTGTGTATTAGAATAAAAGAGAAAATCAATGACTTTTAGTCAAATTTCTATGGTTTCATTAAAAAAAAAGTGAGTCAGGATAAGACAGGAGCGTATTTTTTTTACAACTTCACAGTCCTTGAATAGATAGAGGAGGTGCTTTATAATCTAATGTATGTGTTTTCGAAAATCTATATAGATTTGGTCGAGCTAGACCTATTTTACTGAGCCCAAATCGGTTTATTAATTGAAACAAATTAAATTCCAGTGAAGAAGCAAAGTGAAATGGATCGAATGGGGAATGTGAAACGAGAAAGTAATTACTTCATTGATGTATTTATTTATAAGAAAATGCTTAGCATTAAAAACCATTCATAAATATATACATTCATATATACATAAACAGATAGCTAAATAGATGTGGTTGTACTTCATGTTTTCAACGGTGCAGTGTTTGCTCCTATTTCATTTTATCCTTAAATCATCCATATGACAAATGCCTATCACAGCCGCCAGCTCTTTCCCGCTAGAGCACTTCCTATGGAGACAATGCATCGAACTGCTCACGATAAGAATTGATCAAATCCGATCGGCAGGAAACTTCAATCTCCGATGCAATGCCCTTGAGCCGCAGATTGTTATCGTTGGTGAGCAGCGTCAGGTGGGGCACCTGCCTCCGCAGCTGAAGACAGCAGTTGACAATGCTGTCATCCGGGCAATCTACCTCAATCAAATGGTCCGCCTCCTCTAGCGCAGATTGAGCTGAATCGAGTAAAACTCTTCTAGTCAATTATTTAATAATAAATAGTATTATATAGTTTACCTTGTATATTCAGACTGTTGTCAAATTTCTTGTTCAAATAGCGTATGGCGCGCATAGCAGCGTCATGGTTCAAATGCTTGTCGTTGCGCCTATTATTGAGATTGTCCAGTTCTTTGATGACAATATATGGTATAAAGAGTATGCTGCCCTCTGTTCCACCCAATGCCAATTGGCACACATCCTCCACAAACGCCAGGTTATGAACTAATACATTTGTATCCAGCACGAAATACATGTGATCCAAACAGCGTGCGGGCAACTTTTTTCCAATTGCTAGCAGGCGATTCACAGTTATACCCGACTTATCTACTTGCATTGACTTGTTGGCAAAACTATTTGTATTCACATCCTGCTTTACGGCAGCGACCTATAAATAAACAAATTTATTAAGAATTTTTGTTATGAATGTATTAATAAATTGATGCTAAATCTTGCAAATGAGCTCTACAAAACCAGTGCAATAAAGAAGAGCTGGAATAGATGATAATTATCCGATATACATACCAAAGTTGTATTGTTGGATACAGCCTTAATATCTTCCTCCGAGTCTACGTCCATGGGCTCTACATCATCCATTGACTGAACACAGTTTGGCTTTGGGTTTCTGTTGATTGCATTATCAACTGCTGGAAGTTTTATAGTTGGCGATGGGGTTTCAATTCCGTGGTTGTTGTTGTTATTATTGTCCATTTGACGCTGCTGCAGTGACTCGCACAGTAGCAACAGGCGTTGATTGGCTAGGAACCAAAACAAATGAGCTTCTATTACAAGTAGTCAATTTTGTTAGCTTACCACTAATGGAGCGAGTGCTGCCCAATCGATTGCTCGCATCAAGCAGCGCCTTGGGCTTTGCCCAGGTATTCCGTACGCCACTGCCAATGTCGCTGCTCATGCCACAGCTTCTGCCACTGCCACGATCAGTATTAATGCGCTTGGAGCTGGTTTCATACGCATCACTTTTGGGTGGACTGAAGATGGCGAGTGCTGGCTGCACTAGCGTTGGTCGCTCGTTCAAGCAGAAACTTTTCAGGGTGTCAGAAGAGCCCTTTGCCTGCTTTAGACGCTCGGTGGAATTGCTTGGTGTTTTGGCAGGCGAAGAGCTTGAGGCAGTTGTTGATGATGTTCTACGCGGGCTTCTGCTCCTGCTTCTATTATTATTGGATTTCCGATGCGTTTTGTGAAGAGAATGGCCTGACGTAGTTATAGATGATGATTGAAGTGTGCTCCTGCTCTTGATACTGTTGGAGCTCCGATGCGTTTTGGTAGGTGAATGACTTGTAAATGCCGAGCTACTCCAGGAGTTGCGATGCGTTTTGGCAGGCGAATTTCTCGATGCAGTGGTAGATGACCCAGGTGGGCTGCTGCTGCTGCTGTTGGTGTTGCTGCATTTTCTGCTGCTGATTCTTGTGCTCATATGCTTTTCCTTGTCGGCCCTTTTGCTGCTCACATGTTTCAGGCCCGTCTGTAAGCGATGAAGTCGCTCCTGTGCTTGTTGCTTACACTTGTGCGCTGGCAACATTTTTGGGAAGTTAACAATTATATCTGTCTGAATAGTTTGTGAAGCTTCAACTTACTCGGCTGCTGACGTTGATCGTATTTGTCTCGAGCGTCAGCAACTTGTTTCGATTTTCTGTGACTCTTTCCATGCTTGACATCCATTGCGCTCCTTACAACATTTACGCTTTTTGCGTCTCATGAGCCAACGGTTGACGACAGTACCACAAATAAATCAACTGATAAAAAAGAACTGTACATAATCAGCTGAGTATATATTTCCCCACAGTTATCGAATCTGCAATCCGCGATAGTAATTTTTTGCGTACTTTTTGTGTCAAATATTTTGCTGTGTATTTAAAAAAAAATATTGTTTTTGTGTTACATTTTAAGCATCATTATTTCTATTGTTTATTGGATAGAGCTTTAATGTCATAATAGACTATCGGTTGCTAAATGAAGCTGTTATCGATGTATCGTTTCTATCGATGCTGGTGGCGCTGCCAGAGAATGTGCGCATCTTATTTTTTTTTCGTTTGAAGGGAGCAGCATATTAACTTTCTCTCCAGTTTGTCCAGGGCGACTAAATGGCATAAAAATCGTACTTTTGCCTAACGGAAAAAGTGATTTTGTGAATTGGACTCATGTCCCTCACAAATCTGAAATGACTGCTCTAATCAGACCTTATTTTCTGAAATATACTTTCCTTTCGAGACATCCTAAAAGTATGCTTTGCAGTTTTGATATTTTTCAGACCAAGTTTCACGTGTAATTGTATTGTATTTAACCTGAAAGTATGCTTTGATTAATATTAGCTTGAGAAGAGCTATTAAATTAAAAAGTATATTTGATAAAAACCATCAAAAAGACTTTACAACTATTTTTATTTAAATGGTTGTGTATTTATTAATAATTACTTTCAGAAATGTACATTTTAAAGTTTGTCGTATTTTGGGAATTCTTCTTTATCGTTTTAGTTTATATAATTCAGGGGTTTTCAGTTAGGTTTTCGTTTGTTTCAAAGTACATTAAATAAACTACAGACATACATGTGAGTACGTGTTTATAATATGCATTAATAATAGATATATGTAATGTATGTATTTGTAAATATGTATACATATATAGAATTCAAAAATGTACAACATTCATTTTTAACAAAAAGGATAAACACGATGCTCGGCGCTTTCGCGTTCACTCAATACGTAGTTAAAAACTTGAATATAGTAATAGCAAACAACTAAAATTAGAACTTAACCATAGAAGACTTACGATCTAATACACATAGTACAATTTCAATATTTCGTTTTTAATTTTCTTTCATTCAATATTCCGAATATTTCATTTATTATTCATTATTCATTTTTATTTTATTTTGTGTATTTTTATTTTAAAATGTGTTTTATACGTTGTGATGTATTTGAGTGGTTTTTGCTTTCTTCGTTTCCATGTCTTGCAAACAGTCAGTTTTGCAAAATTGTTTAAATGAAATAGGACTAAAAACTCTAATACTATTACATATATATTTATGTATGTATGTTTGCATGTATATATAGTAGAATACTACTTAAGAACTAATGCTGCTATCAAAACAGGTTTCTTCATTCACAAATAAATATGCGTAGCAATTTTCATAAAAACCTCCTCACTGTCTGTCATGTCTGGCGGCAAATTTTGAGCAACATTTCCTTCTGCAAGTGATTAAATATTTTTGTTGTATATTTTTCCATTATTCTGTTACGAGATTAGAGATTAGAACTGTTATAATGTGTGTGTGTGTGTTTGTGTGTGGGTGTATGGGTAGAAATGCATTTTGAAATTTGAGCACATCTCAATGTTCGGTAGGGTTGTTGTTTAGCTCTTTTCTTTCACTGTTTCATTGTTATATGTTATTATTAAACGTTGTTTTGCCTATCGTAAGTTAGCATGTCCTGTGTGGGGCCTGCTCTAAAAAAACCATGTCCTGTATGCGTACGCATAATTTACAGACGCATATCGTCATATTTGGCAAAAGCTTTGCACAGCGCAAAGGCGAGTATGACAAGGATCAGATGCACAATGCCAGCGACAATGACGCCAATGATGAGTTCGCGCTGTCGAATCAACCAATCGGTGAACACTCCATAACAGCCCTAAGAATTGAAATTTAATTTAAAAAAAACTTCAATTATGTTTAGACTGGGTACGACTTACATTTTTGTAGAAACTATTGCTATCGCTGGGATTGACCGTGCAGTCCTCGTCGCGTGGCACCAGTTTTTCCACATCCTTCAGTATGCAGCAGGTATCCGGTATGGTGCGATTGCCCCTTGTATCCTTCCACGCCTGCGACTCATCGAAGTCATGGTAATCGTTGACGCCACAGCATCCAAAGTTGACCATCAGCTGGTTCCACATCACCGATGTTGCATCCATATTCTCACTCAACGTATAGCTTTTGATGGTTGTCTGCAGGAATTTTTTGCTCTCGGCGCGCACTTTGTCCTTGTAGAAGACGGCCAAACCGCCGGCAACAATCTCAGCCACCAGCAGCAGTATGAGCAAGGTGCCATACTGCAAAAATAGAGACAAGAGAGAGTGAGAGAATGTGTGTGAGAGAGAGATAGAGATAATATGAGCATATTATGCATACGCCCCAGTTGCCGTTTGACCCAATTCACATTTACTTATGTAGCCACGGGGCGAGCATTACATAAAAATCTATGCGTTTGACCCTGAGCTAAATGTGCAGCGTGCGTTAGAGTGGTGAGTTTGAGCCCACACACAGTAACAGCTCACACACACACACACACACACTGTGTGTGCAAACACGCTCCAAGAGAGCACTGCAGGCCATGCTGCCAATCTCAAATGCTCAAATGAAGGTCATTTTGAAATGCTGCTTGCATGCTTTATAAGCTCTACTGGTGTTTTTGTTGTCGCGATGCGTTGGCTTGATAGAGTTGAGTGCTACTGTCTGCTGGCCAGTGTTGCCAGATATCGTTGAGATAGCAGCTAGCGGGAATTTATGTTTTTTTTTTTTCATAGAGAGGTTGAACTTTTATCGGTTTATTGTATAATCATGTAGAGGGCAGTTTGATAAGACTTATAAAGTATTGAAGGAAACGTCACCCATAAAGCCCATAAAGTATTTCAAACTCCGATCAAGTCAATAAAGGTGTGTAATCTTCGACCTGCCTTCCTTCCAAAAATGTTGTTTCTCGATTGCAATGTAGTATAAGTCGAGAGCTCAACCCATGTTCAAAAGTGTATTAATTCAGTTTTTAAAATCAGTCGCTAAATTAGCTTTTTTTTGAGCGCTATAAAAGTAAACAACCCTGATGCTGGCTGTTCCGCCTGGCAGCATTTTATTCACACTGTCTGAATGTGTGTGTTAAGTGCCTGGCAGCAAATGTATCTATCAGATACACACAAGAGAAGCAGTGGAAATGAATTGCCTTCTGATTAGAATGGTCCAAAACTCGGCAATCGGACAACCATCAGTTTCAGTTTAAATCGCATTTGCTATTGTCTTCAGTGCTGCAGCGCATCGCTGGTCATTTATTGTTAGTCGATTTGAAAGCGTTTTTTTATTTTTTATTTGTGTCTCGCAGCATTTAAGCAGCTCGAGACCCAGTGAACTTGCCAATTGGTAAATAATTGGCGCACTCTCAAAATAGCCAATGCTAAAGACACATTGGCAATGCTAACCGTTGGCCTTGAGCACAAGTATTACCAAATAGTGTGTGCCCTTGCTTCATTTACTGCAAATTGTGCTTGAATTTGTGCATACAGATTTTTGTGGTGTCTGACTTACTTACGCCCCCGAGGGCAAATATCGCGAATTGTTACACAAAAGACATATGTGATAAAGAGCCACAATAATTAACGTCGTAGCTGGTTGCACCTGTTTGGCGTTGCAATTAAATTGACCAAGCCCACAAAGTCTTGGGCTCCGATATATAAATAGCGTAAGAAATGTGATAAACTGTTTATTAATTGCCCACACAGAGCACAATCATAGAAATTTCTTTTTAAGGTTGGGCCCCTGACCAAACGATAAATATATTTATATATTCATATATATATGTATATACGTCGGGCAAAATTATAATTCCGAGCACACCAGATCAAGTGCAGAGAGACCCAAAAGTGAAGGGCTTGTCACGGGCACCTCACGACACTTGATAATGTGTCGAAACACGTTCCAACAAACAGAGCTCATGGCAATGCCAGACATGAGATCAAGAAAATGCCTACAACATGTGTACCCACCACAACTAGTTGCAACTTTCTCTTTGGCTCATCGAAGGTTTTCAACAGATTTTCCAACGCCAAAGTCAAAGTCACAACAACGATATAAAAAACTGTTTGTCAAGATGAAATCGTAAATATGCAAAACAAACGACAGCAACTCCAACAATAACAATAAAAAAACTCTTGTTGATAAGCGTGCAATGAATATTTTTGTCTCCCGCGGCGTCATTGAAAGATGCAATTACATTTTTGGCCGATGATGCAACAACTGAAATTATTATTGGGCAACAGCAGATGCCTTCTTTGTATCTGTAAGTTGTAAGTTTAATGTAATTCTGTATCGGACACTTACCGTCGATAGCAGGCAGCGAGATTCACGCATTGCGCCCAAGTAGCCCAAGAGGCTCAAGAAGAACATGACGGCTCCGATGACGAGCAGAGCGTAGGCCATTTGCTCTATGACCTGCGGCTGTGTAAAATGCTACAAAACGAGATAAACAAGCAGAGACCAGAATAATGTGTGTGTAAGAACTGACAATTGATGGAATTTATGTAAATGCATAGAAATATGTTCGATACGCTGCGTATACGTAATTTATAAAGTAATTAACCTTTCGACTGTCGCAACTTTCGCAACATTTGTAATTAAATTAAGTATTTATGAGAGAGAGAGAGAAAAAGATGTCTTAATTGACAGCATCTCGGCATCACAGTCTCAAGTATTAAGCACTCTAAAAGCTGACAACTGCGTGTGGGTTTAAACAAAAAAAAAAATAAAGCAATATAAATATGAAGAGAAATTGAATTTCAGGCAACCGAAAGTTTCATGCTATTTGTTTGCATGTTGTAGTTCAATGACCAAACACAAATCAAGAAAATAAAAAAAAAATTCAAATAAATTCACTCAATTAGCCTTGTGTTTATGCATACCCTGTAATTACTCATTACCCACAGCGTGCAGTTAGATGACATGCACTTTGCCTGCACTAAATTTGTTTTCCAAAACGATTTTCAGCAGTGTGTCAAAGAGGGAGTGGAATGGAATTAGCGGTACGGACAGACGGACAGAGAGACAGCATTGAATTCGTAGTTGCCACAGGACATGCAACTGCATGAATGGAATTTGCTACGCTGAATATTTTGCTGACATTACTGAATACGTTATTATTCGCATTAAGTTGATTAAAAGCTTAAAATAGATTATGAGCTAACATTGTGCTGTAAAAAACTTTTGCTTATCTAATCCCCAATAATGCTGTGGTATTTTGTTTTAAATTACGTTTCCCAGTTGAATAAAGAACATGTCAACTCAAAGGCCATTCGGATTGAAGGTTGTTTTTTATAGTGAGATAATTTCTATAAGCTAACAAAATAGAAAACAAACCTTTATCAATCTAGTTGAAAAATTCAAGAGCAAAATTTGGCATTATAACTTTTCTGGAGCAACAGGTTACTGAATTTAGATCACTCTAAACTATAGAATTTGACTTGTTTCAATTATGTGGCACTTTAATAACCAACAACTCTCAAATGTAAATATTGCTGTTAAATTGGCTTACAATATTTTGATTGGCCTTCTTTTAGATCACTCAAAACGAATATCTTCGACTTGTTCTTATTGACATATTATGCGGCACTCTAATAACCAACAACTCCCAAGTCTCTTACAAGTAATATTAGATTTACTTTGTGTTTGGGGTTGATTTTCGTAGTGGCTCAAATAAAATTGATAAATTGGTCAGCAATACATTGATTGCTTTTATTAGACCTCCTTTTTTCATTGGTGTTATTAGGGTGGTTTTCTCCCTCCGCGCGACTTTCATGTGGGATTCGATATGCAGACACTTACCTCAATGCGCTCGCTCTCGACAAGCTTGAGCAGAGCAATCAGCGAGTGCTTGTCCACAGCTAGCCATAGTCCAACTCCGAATATAATTGTGCCTAGCACCTGCAACATAGAAAAAAGAAGATGGAGAAATAACCCTCAGTTAGCTGGGCATGCAAATTGTAAGCGTTAAACATAAAAAAAACAAAAAAAAACATAAACACAACTTCACACAACATTGTGTGCCTATGTTGTTCGGACATGTTGATTGCATTTGATGTTGATGATTATGACGATAAACAAACCGACAACAACAGCAGCAGCAACAACAACAATAGTTACAATTACAACAACAACAACAACAACTACAACAATGATGGCTGTGAAGTCAATGAACCGCCATAAATGCAAAAACTGCGCATGCGCAGAGATTTGCTTGATTGACTGCAACCGCAGATTGTATTTGTTTGTAGTTGTTGCCGCACTTGTTTTTGTTGCTTTTGTTGTTGTTTCTGCCGCGCCTACCTATCGGACACTGTTTATAATGCAGCTTAACCAAGCAAAAAAAAAAGAAGCAAAATTAAATAAAGAAATTTGTAAAACAACCGTTTTACCTGGGGAATATTTTTAACGTTTTTCTGTACTTTTTTTTTGTAGAAAACACAAAAGATAAATTTAAAACCAACCGTTTTCCCTGGGCAGTATCATTACAGTTTTTCTATCCATCTTTTTAATGCAAGAGAAAAGTAAATAAATGTAAAAACAACTGTTTTCGCTGGAATATATTATTGCAGTTTCTCTGTACTTTTTTTTTAAATACAAAAAATAAATTAAATTTGAAAATCATTGGAAATATTGTTAATTTATTTCTTTTCCTTTAAAATACAAGAAAACCCATACAAAATAAAGCTGTAAAGCAACCGTTTTTCCTGTTAAATATTGTAAAATGTTATCTATACTTTTTTCAAGTCTCTTCACTTAAGTGAATTATTGTGCATTGCTGTTAATTGTAATTGTTATATTGTGTATACTTACAAAGAATATGAAATTTAGTATGCAAAGCAAATACTTTGCACACCAAACACCACAATCAAAGACCATTTTCGATGTTTTCGAAATTTTGCGGCTGTTTTGAAGAACTTGCGCTGGAATTACAAGAAGAAAAACAAATTAAATTAAAGTATCTCAGTAAACACGTGCAATGCGTAATTTCTTATTTAATTAAAATTGCGACTCATTTGTTCAAGTGGCACAGAGGAAAGTGTCATCAAATACTCAAAATGCCAACCAAAAGAACAAAAACAAGAGAAATATGTTTTCATTTCTTTGATGTGTGTGTGTGTGTGTGTGTGCGTGTGTGTGACAACTTCATTTGTTATCAGCTTGCATGTGGTACGTGTCCGTGCCTAATAAATTAACATGTGAAGCAAGCGTTGAAAATTAGCGGATGACTTAAACAGGAAAGAGAAAATGATGTACAAATGGCAACGTTGGAATACTCTTTTAAAGTGTGCTTCACATTTAATTGGAAGTCATTTTATTCCCTTTCTACTTAAAGCGCATTAGATAAATGATAGACTTATATTATTTTCACTCAGTTACAAGAAATGTTTTGAGTTCTGTGCTAATTAATGTTCTTTATTTAAGCATAAGTATACGTAGTTAACGCTGCATGACAATTTCATGATGCTCTTTGTCCGTAATTGTGATGCAGACATTGTTTCTTTGTAATTTTAACAAATTTAACTACATTAATTAAATACTCATTCACTCAATCTCGCTTTAAGCCTCGAGCTGTGACATTCTCGTGAAGCAAATGAACTTTCTCATTAAATGCAGCCACTAAATGTGATTCTGGTTTTACTGCCCCTTACAGACTCGCTCTCTCTCTCCCTTTCTCTCTCTCTTTCTCTAAATCGCTAAATCTTCTCTCTCTATCTGGTTGGTCATATTGGACACGCCTTTCTGCTCGGAGGCACTTTTCTTTTCAACTGCCAGCAATGAAAGCATGTTTTTTATACCCTATACCAATGATTGGGCACATTTTGATTAACACTTTGTTCGTAACTATTTTTATAAATTGATGTTTATATCTTCAGTTCAGTTTCACTTTTAATTGGTACACCAAGAATTGAGTTTGGGAGCATATTTATAGATTTTCTGGGGCATATGCAAACCTGTTTTCGCAACGTAATGATACTCTCAAAGTTTTTACAGGGCATCTGTTGAGCTCGTGCCAAAAACCAAGCTCAGACAGTGCTATAAACATGTTTTTAGTTCTTTAGCCCGTTTTATGCATACGTTTATGTTGTTGAGATACACGAATTAGCGTTATCATGAAATGAGCAACATCAAATCTTTTCGATGATGCGTAAAGTTGATGACTGCAGCTTCTACTTGTGTGTAAATATTCCTGCAGAGATTTTTGACCCATTTTCATGAAATGGTCATAGCATAAGCGTGTAGTGTAAGTGCTTCTGTATGTGTGTGTGTGTGAGTATGTGTGTAGATCTGTGTGTGTTGCACACAAACAATGTCACGAGCCATTGATGCTAGAAAAGTAGAACAGTTGGCGGCTCTCTGAGGTTGCTGTTGGATGTTGGATGCTGCTGCCTGTTTCTATTTCTGTTGTTGCCAACTGGCAAACATTTTGCTTGGCCAACTTTGGCTGCTTAAGAGCCTACTTCGCTTCTTCTTCATTATGAAGTTTTTGCCAAAATGTACACGCAGATACACTCACACATACAGCTAGTAATCCTATTCAAAGGGTGAGTGCAGGTACTTTAATGCAAAATGCTTTAGGGCTTATGCTGATATATATATACAGAGGCCCTGATTTCTGGCCAACAACCCCGACCCGCACACTCGATTTAGAGGCAATTTTGTGCTCCAGCCGGAAAATGGGTAAGCGTTAGCAGTAGAAACAGCCAAGTTTTAATTGCTTTTTCCATTGTTTTGCACAGTTTTGCGTTGAGTGATAAGCATCAAACTTGTCTCCTTTTCAGATTTATGCTTAATTCGCGAATTTCATGTTGATGTGCATAATAACAATAGGCATTTGCCCGCCTGCCTTATGCGAGTTGAAAAGTTGCCTAATTGATTTCCAGCTCAAATCTATCAGCTATCACACTCATACAAACACACAGCCTCAACGCTATCTGTGCGATAATAGTTTTAATTACAGTATTGCATCGCTCTTAAGCACACTCAAGCCCTCAAAGGGACACCGGCCTGACATATGCCATGGAAAATGCACAGATTATCATTAGTAAGCACACACACACACACACCCACCACACAACCACACACAAACATGTGTGTGTCATATATATATATAGTATTCTAATTAGTTTCAAGTGACACATAGAACATATAAGCACATTTCCCTAGCTGCTCATAATCAAGAAGACCAGGCAAGTCATCAGTATTATCAGCATATCCATGAATTCACAACTCAAGCACAAACTTTTTATATATATATATATATGTACTTGCTTTAGTCTGCATGGCAACTTAAATATCAAATGGAACGCAGTTTTAATTGGGCGCCTCCAAAGGCAAATTAAGGCAAATTTTTGCGAATTTTCAGGCTGCTTAGTTGATGACTCTGCCAACAACTATATATATATATACTGTTTAAATGATATGCAGTATTAAATGAAACTCTATATACTGTATGGAGTACGATTGTAAACAATTCGCTAAAATCATGCATGCAATTACAGAGAAAAAAAAATGAATTGCAAATTTGTGGAATGTGGTTAGCGACTATTGTTGAGCTATTTGTTTATTATACATATACAAATATGGCCAATTAAGTGTTTGCCTGTAATTTTATTATTATTTTTGCTTGTGGTTTTTATGTTTTTGCCATAGAAAGTTGGCAGTGGATACAATGCACATTTTGGCGGTTCCGAGAGTGATTAAAATTTCTATTACAATCATGTGGCAAAAGGAAATGCGAGCGACAGATTGAGAGATGGAGATGGAGACTGAGACTGAGACTAGAGACTAATACACTGAGACTTGAGACTTGAGATTGTTGGAAATTTTAGTTGAAGCTTTAGCTGTGGCTGTTGTTGCTGCAAAATGGGTTAAAGAAAGTCGTAACTTGTATTAATTAAAAGGCAAAAGTTGAAAGGCAAAAAGGTTTACTTCAAACTTGTCCAAAACCTTCTTCTACAAGTTTTAAAGTCGACTTTTTGGTCGATGTGGTTGTTGTTGGCCATAAAATGGTGTGCAAGTTGTGCCCCTCTGACAATTGCCATAAATGATTTCTTTTAGTTGGTTTCGTTTTGTACTCGTTCTTAATTTCGTTCTCCCCAGCCACAATGTGCCACAGACGTTGCAACATTGGCTGACGAAGGCAGCGAGGGGCAGGAGGGAGCCACTTGTCACGTTCGCTTGCCAAGAATTTAGAAATTGTATTTATTGGCAATGCTTTCTATTTTCGAACATTTCAACTTCGGCTTGTGGCTGCTGTTGCCGCGTTTAAGAAACCAATAATAGTAAAAAGTCATGCTTGAAACCAAAAGTGCTGCTTTTGCTGCTGCTACCGCTTCTATATATGTATATATATATGAAGGCATATAATCATCTTTCTCATGCTTCGAGATGATACTCTTTTTATTTCTTCTCGTTTCTTCTCTTTTTTGTAGCTTGAAGTAGCATTTGGTGTCTTGCGCCTGCCAATTAAATAGTTTAATTGATAATAAGACTTAACTGGGTCAACATTGGGGTCTTATGCATGCCACAGATATAGAGGTAATTGCTAAAACTATGCCCACAGTTAAATGCAGGTGGGTGGCATAAACAGTCTCTTAATTTACCTAGTTGTTGCCATACCAACAAAAAGAGTCATTAAAAGAAATTTCATCTTTTTTTTTAGTTGGCAGTTGCAGTCATGTGGGAACTGGCAACTTTATAATTGACTTAAAGAAAGGCAGCAAGGCACCATTAAAAGAAGCTGCCATTCGTTCAGATTTTCACAAAGTGTATGCAAAGTTCAACAAACAGAACATGGCAAGAAAATGCAGGCAGGAAAATCTTCAACAGCACATACATAAATCCCTCACAATTTATCTGTATATATATATATATGTGCCCGAAATTGCTACAAAGACTAACTTAATCTTAAACATATTCTTATTTTGTTTTTTCTTTTTCTTATCATTGAATCAATATTAGCTTTGAAATATTTTTGGGTTATCGACATTTTGACTGTGCGGTAAGATTGACAAAAATTTCGCAGTGCCTCACATTGCAAATGAGCCTTTTATCTCTTGCCAAATATTTGTTTTAATATGCCAAAGTTGAAAACCTAAAATTTATAGCCTTTTGTGTCTCTCTCTCTCTCTCTCTCTTTTTCTCTCCAGTTGCTGTTGCTGTTGCAAGAATATCCAATTAAAAGCCGGCTTTAAGCTCAAACCTATCAAACTGGTATTAAACTCATTTAATTTTGGGCGCAAAAGCATTTTTGTTGTTTTCGTTTTTGTTTCTTTTGTAATTTGTTCGGCGCACGAGCCACACAATCAATTTATTTATAAATTTTTGCTTAATTAATGCAAACGCAAAACCAGCTGGCAAAAAATAAAACAAGAAATGTTGAAAAATGAAGTTTGTTTATGTTGCGCCTCGTTAACTAATTTGCATAAAAGCATATTTTGATGCACATATTTACTGTGCCCAAGGGTAGATGGTATTTTCAATTTATTTTCAAATTTGCAACGCATTGATGGAGACGTCTCCTACCTCATAACGTATATATATTCTTGATCAGCATCAATAGGCGAGTCAATATAGCCATGTTCATCCTTTCGTCAGACCGAATTTTTTGTCTTTAGATGTCATCGGTTTAGCTCCTGTCTACAAATGTATTTATTCTTCGGTGCCTAACAAAAACCATCTTTCCTTATTTTACATATTTTCAGCTGGCTGCTGTACTTAAAGTATATGAAATTTCCGCCAATTGAAAGCCAACCATTTATTTATTATTATTTTTTTGCACATGTCATTCAACTTTTGTGCAGTCGACAAATTATTGTTTGTAGTGGTTGTTAGTTGTTGTAAGTTGTTGTATAACACTTGGTTGGAGCCAAGTTAATTGACATAATTGGAGGCGCTCCGGTACGAGTTAGCATCTAAA